ATATGTATATATGTATGAATGTGTATATATGTATTTATGTATATGTATATGTATGTATGTATGTGTATATATGTATATAAACTTATATATAGATATGTGTGTGTGTGTGTGTGTATATATATATATATATATATATATATTATTCAGCCATAAAGATAATTTCTGATACATGCTATGATATAAATAAGCCTTGAAAACACTATGTTAAGTGAAATAAGACAGGCACAAAGAACAAGTATTATATAATTGCTTAAATCAAATATCTAGAATAAGCAACACATAAACACAGAAGAAAATAAGAGAAGTTATTTAACTTCCCTTAAAATAAGGGAAGTTAGTTAGAGCTTCTGTTTGGAGTGATGAAAAAGTTCTGGAAATAGATAATGGTGACGGTTGCACAACATTGTAAATGTAATTAATGGGAATGAATTGCACATTTTAAAATGGTTATAATGGCATATTTTATGTTATATATATTTTACCACAATAAAATTTCTTAAAAGAACCTCAGTTATTACAATTTGAATATGTACAGAGTTGATGAGGATATGAAGAATCTAGCATGCAAATGGACTGTTGATAGAAAATGTAAAAACCAAAGGGTAACAGATAACATTTAAAATTCTAAATGTTAGTATCATTAATATCCACTGATCTAGCCTTTCCATCCCTTATCATTTATCCTATGAAAACATCCCTACAAGTACCCAGAGACAGCTGTCCAAAAATGCTCATGTTAGCCTCTATCAATATCAGCAACAACGTAGAGAGACATACGGGAAAGGTACATCAATATGAAGTTGCTTAAATTGGTAGATGCACACAAAAAAATACTGAACAGTTGTTAGAAAGAATAAGGTAACTATATATACAATGACATGGAACAATCCCTAAGAGTAAATGGCTAAATGAAAAAAGAAAATGGCAAAACAGACATGCTATAGATACACTCTTAAAGATAGTATATCTATAAACCAAACCCACTGCCATCAAGGTGATTCTGACTCACAGTGACCTCCACTGGGTTTCTGAGGCAGTAAATCTTTACGGGAGTAGACTGCACCGTCTTCCTTCCACAGAGGGCTAGTGAGTTTGAACCACCAACCTCTGGCTAGCAATCAAATTTGCCACTGCACCACTATGCACCAAAGTTGATGTTAGTTATCTTTGAAGGTAAAATTAAGAACAATCTAACATATAAAGTCTATGCTTTAATAATGCTTATATTTCAGGTAATGAAGACATTAATAAAATTTTAAAAGTTATTCCTAAGTATTATTTTTTAAAAGCGTCACAGGAACTTTAAGATGATCCTATAAACTCCTGGGTTATTGAAATAGATTCCATTTAACAAAATGTGGTATCAGAACAGCCCTATTTAATAAATCAAAATATTTTGTCATCAAGGCAATTCCAACTCATAGCATCCTACAGGATAGAGCAGAACTGCCCCATTCGGTTTCTAAGGCTATATATATCTTTACCAAAGCAGACGACTATATCCTTCTCCTGTGGGGCAGCTGTTGGGTTTGAAGCATGACCTTTCAGTTACCAGCGAGACTTAACCACTGTGCCACCAGAGCTCTTTCTATTTAGTAAAACAGAGACTAAACCAAGAATTAGGGTTTCAAAAAATTTGTATGAAAGTCTTATGAACCTTGCAAAGCAAAAAGTAATTCCAAGGTGAACGTTTTTCCTTTTTGATCTTAACCACAAAGGGATCCTTTAGGATATCATGTATATTGTTATAATCATTCTCTCAAAGCTTAATAATTCCTAGTATTTTTTATTGTTATGGTCAAATAAAATTAAATATTTTTAACACATGTAGAGTATGATCCCATTTCTGTAAAACTTGAACAACTACAAAGACTTAATGTTCACCTAATGTTAATAAAGGTCATTACTGAGTGATGAATGGTAGTTTTTCTTTTTATTTTCTATATTGTATTCTTAGGTATTTCCCAAATAAGTTATAAGGAGAATATGTCACTTACACAATAAAAGTCTTTTTAAAATAAGTGAATTTCCTAATTAGCTACTATGTCTGTCATTTTATCCTCTTTATATTATTATTACTATCTTCTCAGGGGCTCTTGATATGCCAAGGCTTTCACCGTTTTTAACCTTCTGATCTCTAATGACAACCGCATTTAAAAAAAAAAAAAAAGCAAGAACAATGCCCAGTATCATGGAACTACCATAAAATTCCCATAGACATAAAAGCATTGTTCGTGTTTAAAGCAAAAGATTCTGCTCCCCAATTAGGCACATGTTCAATAAAGTACACCTCCATAATGTGACATATTAATGGAGCTCAAATTCACATACATAAATTCATGGTTCTAATTTCAGAGGAAATTAGGGAGACTAAGCAATTAAAAATAAGAAACCTAAAGAAAAGAATGGCGAAGTTACAGAGGCAAGGAATTGGTAGGGAGAAAGGAGAAGGGAAAAAAAAAAGTGAAGGGAGATTTGAGGGCTCAAGATTTACTTTCCAGAGGGGGAAAAAAGTGAGCTCATAAGCCATTAGAAATACTTTATGCTTGCTTCCTATTTTTTTCAGATTTTAAAATAAAGCTCTCATTCTACTTTCACCTATAACTAAATTTATAAAGGATTGAAAAAAAACAACTCACCTGCCTGGCGTACTGGGAATTCCACATGGTCAGAGACTATAATCCGAAGTAAACTGGGGGCAAAATTGATAATCTTGTAGGACTGAAATTACAAAGAAATATTTTACAAAATAGGGCAATATAAAAGAACTGTTATTGAACACATTAATGTCCAATTTTTTCAAAAAATCTTTAAGAGAAACTCTCTAAGGCAAAGTGAAGATTACTAAAATACTTCAAGTCAAAAGAAAATTCCTTAGAATAAATTCCTATTAGTTGAATTAATAAAAGGATATTAACGTTTTTACTTTTTACATATATTGCCAAAATGCTCTCCAGAAAGGGTATGCCAAGTTATGCTCCCAAGAGCAGTATATGAGAGTGTCCATATATACAAAAGGATAGTATAATTCTCGTAAAACTTTAAAACCTTATGAATATTTTAAATTGCATTTTCTCTGTTACAAGAGTGACTGAATTCTTTTCATGTTTGTAGCCTATTTGTCCTCTTTTTCTGAAAATTCCTGTCCCTGTATTCTTCTGTAATTGAAATGTTTTAATCTTTTTTTTTTTTTTAATGTATAGATTGCTTTGGGTAATATTGATATTTTCACAATATTTAATCTTCCTATCCATGAACAAGGCATGTAGATCCCTCATAGTTTTTTGTAGTAGTGTTTAGTTTTCTTTGTATATGTCTTTTGTGTCTCTGGTAAGATTTATTCCTAAATATTATATCTTTTTGGTAGCTACTCTAAATGGCATTGTTTTCCTTACTTCCTTTTCAGAGGTCTCTGTTGATGTACAGGAATGCAACTGATTTTTGTATGGTAACCTCGTATTCTGCCACTGTGCTGAATGAACCTCTCTATTAGTTCCAGTAGATTTTTGACTGAGTCTTGGATTTTCTAGGTATAGGATCATGCCATCTGCAAAGAAAGATAGGTTTATTTTTTCTTTGCCAATTTAGATGCCTTTCATTTCTCTTTCTTGCCTTATTGCCCTGGCTAGGACTTCCAAAACAATGTGAAATAGAAGGGGTGATAGAAGGCATCCTTGTCTGATTCCTGTTTGTAAGGGGAAGGCTTTCAGCCTTTCTCCATTAACAATAATGTTGCCTGTTGGCCTTGCATATATGCCCTTTATTATCTTGAGGATGCTCCTTTCTGTCCCTATTTTGCTGAGAGTATTGAACAGGAATGGGTGTTGGAGTTTATGTAATATCTTTTCCACATCGATTGATGTGATCACATGGCTCTTTTGTTTTGTTTATGTGGTGGATTACATTGGTTGTTTTTCTGATGTTAAACCATCCTTGCATACCTGGTATGAATCTCACTTGGTCAAGATGTATTTTATATATATATATATAAATATATATATATGTTGTTGGATTCTGTTGGCTAGGATTTTGTTGAAGATTTTTGTATCTATATTCATGAGGGATATTGGTCTGCAGTCTTCCTTTTTAGTGGTGTCTTTCCTTGGTTTTGGTATCAGATGTGTTATTCTTGCTTCATAAAATGAATTTGGGAGTATACTCCATCTTTTTCTATGTTCTAGAATAGTTTGAGTAGCATAGGGGTTAGCTCTTCCCTGAACGTTTGGTAAAATTCTCCAGTGAAGCCATCTAGGCCAGGACATTTTTTTGTGAGGAGTTTTGTTATGACTTGGTCAATTTCTTCTTTTGTTCTAAATCTGTTCAAGTATTCTATTTCTGACTGGGATAGTTTAGGTAGGTCTTATGTTTGTTTCTAGAAACTTGTCCATCTCTTCTAGGTTCTCAAATCTGTTGGAGTACAGTTCTTCAACATATTCTGTTATTATATTTTTTATTTCAATGTTGGTTCTGTTGTGATGTCTCCCTTTTCGTTTATAATTCTTATTATTTGCATCTTCTCTTTTCCTTTGTTAAATTTGCCAGTGGTTTGTCAATTTTCAAAAACCCAGCTTCTTGTTTTGTTGATTTTCTCTATTGTTGTTTTTGTTTTCTGCTTCATTTATTTCTGCTCTGATCTTTTTTATTTCCTTCTTCTGGATACTGCAGATTTCTTTTGTAGCTTTTTCTAATTGTTGGATCTATTGAGTTAAAGTGTTGATTTTTATTCTTTCCTTTTTTTTTTTTTT